TTATTGTTGAGAAATTGTTTTGCTTTTAATGGTATTAAATCTCTAATTTGAAATTTTTTTTTACTCTACACCATTGAAGCCATTGGGTGGAAAGACATTCTAGTGTGTCTCTTTTAAAAGAAAAAGTACATCTCATAACAATTTGTATTAACTACTTTTTAGACATTTTTTCTATTCTAATTATCTTTATTTTGCAAAACAGTACTATACAGCAACATACAACTCCTGCCCTTCATTTCACAGTAGTCTTGATACCGATCTCACACAAACAGCTGAGTGACACAAAGTATGATACAGTTAGCTTTTGTATAGCATCGCCACTGCATGTGGTCATGGTATTTATTTCTCTGCTGCTGCTGTTACATGTCATCAGGTTGCATCTGACTTACAGAAACCCTAAGAGGATTTTTCAATGTATGTGACTCATTTAAGGAGAGGTTTAACAGTGCCATTCCCAGTGAGTTTCCAGGACTGTCTGGGGATTTGAACCCAAGTTTTCTGGATCCCAATATGTCACTCTGTCCTCTAGATTACACCAACAGCTTAGCATTTCTTTACTTCAGTAAATATACAGTGCAACACAAATAAGTCCTCAAGACAACAATGATGTGTTTTGTGACTTACATAAATTAATGTAAATTGTGTCTGTGATTACCAGCACACTGTTAATGGTCATGATGCCAATTAATAAAGAGCTATCTAAAAGTACTTGTATCTTACATTCCTACTACCCTAAACTGTGTCTTTGCTTATTAACACAAGCTGGTAACTCTTCAGTTATCACAGTCTTGATTAACACAATGGAAATCAAAATACACACCAACTAGCATAGAATGGTATATATTTAACCTCACTTGTACCACTTTCTAATTCCTGTATTGCAAAATAAATCATTCTTAATTCTGCACAATTTTAAAAAGGTCAACTGGAAGCCATTCTTAAGCCCATGAAGTTCTACAGTGAGAGTATGAAGGATATATATGAAGGGGGGGGAGGGGGAATCAAAGTATAACAGCAAGAATCTAGTTCAAAGTATGTTTAACATTACTGAACATAACTGTATCTCAGTTACTATATACTGCTTTCGTTCATCAGCTAGAACAAGGAACAGTAAAAACAAGTTAAACTTTTATAGACCAGTTAAGCGGAAATCTACCGTATGTCCACGTTTGTCTATAAACCTCCACAAGCAAAAGAACAATGGATTTACAGTGGTGTCTCGACTTAGGAACTTAATCCGTTCGAAAAGATTTCACAAGTCGAAATGTTCATGAGTCGAATCAGCATTTCCCATTGAAATGCACTGAAATGCAATTAATCCGTTCTGGCTGTTTTTTGCTTGTACAGTGGAGTCTGTACTTAAGAATGTCCCTACTTAAGAACAATTCCACTTAAGAACAGCTCCATTTGCTAAATTTTGCTTCTACTTGAGAACAAAAATCCAGATAAGAACAGGAAAAAAAAACTTTCCTGCTCTTTTTTTAACCTTAGATCATCTTAGGTTAAAAAAAAAGTTCTCCCCCTAGTGGTAGAGTACGTATTAACCAGGTTTGCATTAGTTCCTATGGGAACTAATGATTCAATGTACGAACGCACCTCTACATAAAAAAAACAGCCAGAACGGATTAATTGGTTTTCAGTCCATTGCTTCAAAATTAGCTTCGTCAGAACTGCTTTTAACACTGTTCCCTGACCTAAGAAAAAAAGAAAAAATATCCCCCTCTAGTGGCAGAAGGCGGAATCGCAGCTTCCCATTAGTTTCTATGGACGGAAAAGAGCAGATACGGATTAAATGGTTTTCAATGCATTCCTATGGGAAATGCAGATTCTACATAAGAACTTTTCCACTTGAGAACCACCTTCCAATACGGATTAAGTTCTTAAGTAGAGACCCCACTGTATGTAGAGGCGCCGGTTGCAAGCCGGTTAATCTGTCCTCTACCACTAGGGGGAGATTTTTTTTAACCTAACATGACTTAGGTTAAAAAAAGGGGCAGGAAAGAAGGGAGGGAGGGAACAATGGGGAAAAGAGGAAAGAAAGAAGGTCATCACTGGGGCACACAGACCCTTCAGACAAAGGTTTGTGCTTTTAAGCACAAAAAGAGAGAAGTCAGATTGAGAGAGAGAGAGAGAAGACAAGGGGGAGAGAGAGTTTGGAGTCTAAAACATGTTTTAAACCCACACATGCTAAACGCACACATTTTCCACCAACACATTTTGAACCAAACCAAGCAACATTTTAGAGCCCACCAGCCAGCACAGACCCTTGCAGAAAGGGTCTGCAAGACCTATCAGAGCACAGAAACATACCCCCCACCTAGTCCAAACCCAAGCTGCAAAAACCCTGTACAGAAAACAAACACAAAGAACAAAGCAAAAAGCAAGGGAAGCATGCAAGACACATCGAAAAGGGGGAAAACCCCCAAAAAGCAACCAAACCCCGCAAAACCCATCGGAAATGGGGGGAAACCAAAAAACAAACCCCCCAAAACCATCAGAAATGGGCAAATCCCAAAAAAGCAACCAACCCCCCAAAGACCCATCGGAAATGGGGGAGGAAACAAAAAAAACCCCCAAGACTCAGAAACGAAACAAAAAAAAACCCCAAGACTCATCACAGCACAGAAACATAAGCCACCCCAGCCAAAAACCACACTCCAAAAATACCCAGAACAGTTTTTTAAAAGTATAAAGCAGCACCTTACCTTAGCATGCAGCCTCCTCAGATCACACACTCTCTAACTGCTGGGGCAAAAGAGCTACAAAAAAGCGGCCTCATTGCCATCTACAGTTAGCTATTTGAATTTTCCACCCTTTCTCCCTGCCTTTTTGTGTTCGTAAGTGGAAGCTCCAGTTGCAAGTTGAAGCAAAATTTTGCGACCGGAGCTGTTCGTAAGTCGAAATGTTCGTAGGTAGGGGTGTTTGTAAGTCGAGGCACTACTGTGCTTGTGAAAAAAAACCTGAAAATCAGCGAAGGACTTCAAATTTCTTTGTTTGGGGCAACCTTTCTCACTATATATGTGGCCATGTTTTGGCCATGCTCTTTTGTTAAGGGATAATAACATGCATTTCCTAAATTCAGTTGGGAGGCCCAATCAACATTGACCCATTGAATGTTCATATCAGTGTTGACTTACAAAATCCCATTTAGTAAGTTTATAGTCTAAACTAGATTTAAAAATGGATTTAATCCTACATATCACCCTTCCCAAACACAAGGTCCTCCTTGTGTTAGTTACAGATAATGGGACTACAACTCCCACTATCTCTAACTAAAATGATACTGTTTATGGTGTACACAAAAACATTCTGCATGATACAAAATTGAGAGTGATAGTCATATATAACAAAGAGAAACATTCTCTTTGTTATATGTGTTAAAGGCACACATATTGATTTTTTTAAAATCTTGGGATAGGCAAAATTATCTCCAACACACAAATGGCTGATAAAACTTTATATTTACATTAATTAGACAGCAAAAGAAAGTGGATACCATATTTGCTGGTGTGTAAGGCGACTGGGCGTATAAGACGGCCCCCCAACATTCCCACTCAGAATGTAGAGTTTGTTATATACTTGCTGTATAAGACTACCCCCTCTTCCGCATGCGTGATTCTGCTTTGGCTGCATCATGGGGAGAGTTCCTTTTGCCCCTTTTGGTTCCTTTTCGGAGAGAGCCAGGGTTTGCTGGAAGAAGGAACAGCAGAGAGGCGGCAGCCATTTTGGAGAGGCAGCAGCCATGTGGTCGCATCTCAAAATGGCTGCTGCCTCTCTGCTGTTCCCGACAGTCAGCTGTTCAGCTAGAGTCAGGCAGTTCCCAGGCTAGGAGCGGGGCTCTACTCGGTCTTACTACCAGGTAAGTGACTTCGCTGGGAGAGAGGGAGGGTTTGCTGGACATGCACCCGGCGTACGAGACAAAGCCCCCCACTTGGAGGCATGTTTTTCAGGGCCAAAAAGTCATCTTGTACGCCAGCAAATACGGTACATTTAGTGAGAAGTAAAAATACAAGATGAGGAGCTTATTAAGGTAAATAATTTTGTGTGTGCCACCTAGCTTCTGTTTAGCTTTCATTTCTTGGATTTTGAGCGCACTACTGCAACAACAACAACAAACCCTCAAGGGCTAGAACTTTATCGGAACTACATAAGAGGTAAAACACAAATTATTTCTCTCTTTTTCTGACCATAGCAATTACACTTGGACTTGTGAGTGAGTCTGAGCTGAGTACATGAGAAACAGCCAACAAATAAAATGCTATAGAAGGCCACTAACATGATTGCCAGCTTACATTGTGTACTTTCAACAAACACTTGACTAAAGTGGTTAATAATAATAAAAAAAACTTCTTAGAACATTTAATATACAATAGAGTGAAATTCAGCTATATCCAGTGGTGCCTCGTTTAACGATTGCCTTGTTAAATGATGAAACCGCTTGACGATGAAGTTTTTGCGATCGCTTTTGCAAAACGATGTTCCTATGGGGTTCTCTGCTTCGGGAACTGATTTTTTGCTAAACGATGATTCTGAAACAGCTGATCGGTGGTTCTAAAATGGCCGCCCGCTGTGCAAAATGGCTCCCCACTGTGTTTTCAGGATGGATTCCCCACTTTACAAGTACTGAAAATGGCCGCCCCTATGGAGGATCTTTGCTGGAGGGTGAGTTTTCAGCCTACTGGAACGCATTGAACCGGTTTCAATGCATTTCAATCGGCTTTTTCGTTTCGCTTGACGAGGATTTCGCTTAACAGCGATTTCAATGGAACGAATTATCCTCGTCAAGCGAGGCACCACTGTACTGAGTAACAATAATGAAGGCAAGAAATAACTTCCTACCATCATCAAACAGCTATTGGAATAGAACAGCCTTGCATGCCCTCTGAAATCCCAAGCAAGGCAGACTGACATTCCTCATCCCAAACTCAAGGCCATTTGTAAAAAGTGAATATCTGCATTGATGCAAATGATTGCAAACACACACTGTAAGTTGTGCTTACATGTAAAGCTGATGGGTCAGGCAGGAATTCAGCATCTTCTCCAAAGATAAAGTCAGGTGGCAATTCTGGATAGTGGGCATTAAAAATTATATCCCCTAAAAGAAACAAAAAAGAAAACATTTAACCAGATATTAATGCATTAAAAAAGTGGCTACAATGACCTTTGGGTTCATTTTGAGTCTCTTCCTTCTAACATAGTAATGAAGAAACCAGAAACTTCAATTTTTTTTTTCAAATTTGGCAAACATTTAGAGTGTTGCCTGATTTCTTTTTTTTCTATTTAATAAAAACAAACAAAGAGAACCATATAAACATGCAATAAGCAATTAACAAATGTCTACTAAACCTAGCATCCCCCACACATACCAGGACCAACTGAGATTTGCAACTATTTACGTCCATTGAGCCCCCTTCCCCTTCAAAAATTGTAATGGCTCTTGCAAGGGGCCTTGCCCCGTCCCCTTTATTAGCACAAAATTGACACATTCTTACCATACATCTGTAAATTAATCCTTACTTATCCTTATTAACCTTAATATATTACATGTTAGCTTATCATTAATAGCTACTGTGTTTCCTCGAAAATAAGACAGGGTCGTATATTAATTTTTACTCCAAAAACACATTAGGGCTTATTTTCAGGGAATGTTTTATTTTTTCATGTACAACAATCTACATTTATTCAAATACAGTCATGTCATCTTCTTCTGGTTGCTGCACAATGGTGGACAGTGGGGTTTCACTTAACTAGCTTATTTTAGGGGTAGGGCTTATATTATGAGCATCCTGAAAGATCATACTAGGGCTTATTGTCATGTTAGGTATTATTTTTGGAGAAACAGGGTATAACCCAAATTTCCTTAAACCATTTAGCTGGAAATTATACATTGCTTTCATGTTCCTAGCTACAACCAGTCCTCCCATTGTTAAAAAGCTGGAATTCTTTGGCTGTCCGATTACATTCCTCCATTTCAAATATTGATAAAAGTGCTATTTTAGGACATTTAATTTACTTATTCCATTTACTCCTTAAAAATCAATTGTCAACATTTTGATATAGCCTCACATTCCCACCACATATGAAAATAAGTACCTGCTTTCTGGCAACCTCTTCAGCATATCTCAGAATAACTAGCATTTATTTGATTTGATTTCACTGGAGCTAAGTACCATCTCCAAACTAACTTATAAAAAATTATTTTATCATTACTGACATAAATTTAAATATTCCATATATATTTTCAGACACTGGTATTTATTTGCTACCTCTGATCATAATGTTCTAAGTAAATTCTCCTGATCTTCTACTATCATTAATATTTTGTATATTTTACTTCTTACCTCATCTTCATCTACAGTGGACCCTCGACTTACAGACGGCTCGACTTACAGACTTTTCGAGTTACAGACTTCTCTGGCTGCAAAATTTAGATTCGACTTGCAGCCAGAGAATCGACTTACAGACCAGAAAAAAACCAAAATGGAATAAAAATAGAATAAAAACCACTGGTTATGGGATTAATCGGTTTTCAGTGCATTGTAGGTCAATGGAGATTCGACTTACAGACTTTTCGACTTGCAGCCACCATTCCAGTATGGATTAATTCCTTAAGTAGAGGGTCCACTGTACACTTTTCTTTTGTAATATTATCTCTTCAATTTTCGTAAAATCCTTACATCATTTCTTTTTACACAACCTTTTGTCCATTATTCTGTTTATTTGTTTGTTTAATTTATATACTGCCCTGTTAGTGCAAGGCACTATTCTGGATGTTTTACTGCATAATAAAAATAAAAACAGCAAAATAATAATAACTTAATACATTAATAGATGAAATAAAAGTTAAACACAACCTAAAACAAGAGGTGAAAAATCCCAGGCGAGAGGCATGTGTGTCAGGTAGAATTACAATGAAACACATCTCTGAAGAGCCATGTCTTCAGCAGCCTCCTAAACATTTGAAGGGATGAGGGCAGGCACAGCTCAACTGGAAGTTAGTTCCAAAGTACAGATACAACTGCCCAACCTCTCATGGATTATTTCCTTGTCTCCTTTTGAGTAGCCATCTGTAGGAGCATTGCCTGGGAGGATCTGGTGGTACGGGCAGATAACCTTAGGAAATTGCCCTCCAACAAGTGCAGTGGTGCCTCACACAACGATGTTAATTGGTTCCAAAAAAATCAACGTTGTGTGAAACATCGTTCTGTGAAACACCATTTCCCATAGGAATGCATTGAAAACCGGTTAATCCGTTCCAATTGGAACGGATTGCCATCGCTGAGTGAAAATCCCCATAGGAAACATCGCTGTGTGAGGCGGCAAATTTAACAGAAATAGGCATCGTTGTGTGAATTCATCGTTGTGTGAGGCACCCGTTGTGCGAGGCACCACTGTAGTATGATTCCAAACCATAGAGGGCTTTATAAGTAAGAATCAGGACTTTGAACCTGACCCAGGATGCAATAGGTAACCAGTGCAGGAAAGCCAGGAACTGAGGAGATGTGATCAAATTTGCTCACACCTGCCACCAGCCTGGTCATCACATTCTGGATCTGCTGAAGTCTCCAGGTCAACCTCAAGAGAAGCCCCACATAAAGTGTTACAGTAGTTGATCTGGGAGATAACCAATGCCTGCACCAGCATTCTGAGGGCTCCGTCATCCAGATAGGTGTGAAGTTAGGTGATGAGCCTCAACTGATTGAAGGCTGCTTTGAACATAACCATGATCTGGGAACTCCAGGATAGGGAAGCATGAATTTGAACTTGGTCCCTAAGCGGGAGGTCTATGCAACTCAACCTAGGGACAATCCCCTCCCCCAGCCTATCCAAGGGACCCTATCCCCCCAAGTCTTGTCCTGCTTTAGTTGAATCTTATTAGCCCTGGTCCATTCCAAGACCAAGCCAGACATCACTTAAGAATCCAGATGACATCCACCACAATGGTATTGAAGAAGAGATAGAGTTGCATGTCATCAGAGTACTGATGATACCATAATTACTCCAAATCTCCTGAGGATCTCCCCCAGTGATCATTTTTCAGACACTGAGAGCTTTGCTATTTAGCTGCTGTTCGTGTCCAGAATGGAAATAGTGGTGCCTCGCTTAGCGATCGCTCCGTTGAGTGATGAAATCGCTTAGCGATGGGGTTTTGGCCATCGCCAGAGTGATCACTTAGCAATGGCCCCTATGGGGAAAAATCGCTTTGCGATGATCGCGGGGAAGCGATAATCGCAAAGCCCCCATTTTCGGCCAGCTGATCGGTGGATCCAAAATGGCCGCCAGAAAACAAAATGGCCACCCGCTGTGTTGCTACGCTTTAGAGGCACCGAAAATGGCCGCCGCAATGGAGGATTTTCACAAAAGGTTAGTTTTAAAGCCCACAGGAACGCATTAAACAAGTTTAAAAAATCGCGTAGCGACAAAATCCCTTAGCAACGTTTTTTCCTGCACAGATTAACATCGCTAAGCAAGGCACCACTGTACCTGCCATCACTATTATCTGACTCCTGAACTGCAATCTAAAATGAAAACAAGCTTCTGAACTTCTCAAGGTTGTTCCAGAGAAGAGGCAAAATGTGTGAGTGCACATATATCTTGTCTTGTTTCTAAAAGTCTAAACCAAGCAACTTTCAAAGTCCACCAAGTCTCAGTCCAGAAGGACTAGATTTATTAATTATTGTAAGGAACTAACTGACATTTGTGCCCTACAATGTTGGCTTCAATGAAGACACAGAATTGTGAAGCTAAAATACAATTTAAATACAAAATATATACCCACAAGAATTAAGAAAACAAACCTGATATCGAAAAACACTTAAAGTCACTGCAGTTGGTCCAGTATCTGCCAGTCAAAAATTCAACTTTGAGTTCCAGTTACAATTGACCCACTGGGTAAGTCACACTTATGCAAGATCCATTGTTTAACAGCCCTACATTAGCTCATACCAACAACTGGATGTAGGGCTTAGTTTAAATTGTTGTTTTCCACATAGCTTCCAACTCAAAATTTTGCAAAGCCCTAAACAGTCTGGGGGTGGTGGTATGTGATTCCATGAAAGTTACACATATGAACCTGTCACTCAGATCAGTGGTTCTTAACCTTTGTTACTCAGGTGTTTTTGAACTGCAACTCCCAGAAACCTCAGCCAGCAGAGCTGATGTTGAAGGCTTCTGGGAGTTGCAGTCCAAAAACATCTGAGTAACAAAGGTTAAGAACCAGTGACTCAGATCATCATCCAAAATCATGCTTTGTGTTTTCAATTACAAAGCAGCACATTTTCATTTATCAACCTGGGGCTAAGTTAGCCCCTTCTCTTCCTCTCTTTCAGAAACAAGCAAAATTTTTTCCTGTTTGGCAAGAATAAGGCTTAAGACAGTTAATTCTTTCTGTGGTGCATGTTTACTTTCTTAATTAGTATGTATTAGAATATTTATTTTGCTCTAAGCCCCCCCTTAATAAAATAATTGCTTTGTTATAAATAAGTAAACAAATGCTTAAAACAAATAAGTATAAGCCTCTTTATTACAACTCAGTTATAACCTATGCTGTATTTGTTGGAATAAATTAGCAGTCCAAATCTGCAGATGCAATAGTTTGCCCTTTTCCATCTCTGTTCTGTTTGTCCAATTTCCAAAAATTGTTTAGAAAGTGGCAAGTATCTTTAACAAGCTCTTAGAATTAAAATTAAAACTTCCACTGAACAGACGCAGTACATGTCAGCACAATAAAGATGCAATATTCCCTTTTATAAATGTTACATCTAGAAACATCCGAAATGGATAAGTAGAGGTAGTTCACCTGGTTGTGAGCATTTGGTAAAAGGTATTTTTTCTTCAAAATGTCCCTTCTTGATCTGATGTATACAGTGCAGCATCTGATATTTAATTTCTGAAATCTAAAACTATAGTATAGAAATAAATGAAATAGAGAAAATGTAACACAAAATAGAAGTGTATTAACAAGTAACCTGGCTAGCTGTCCATCTTAATAATGGTTACACATTAGCACAAATGTGAGCTACCCAAAAAGATGGCCATAGATACTCTGTATTTTCACAGAAAACTAATTACCTCATTTTGAAGATCAAAATCCTT